CAGTTTTACTAGCTGGAAGGATTAGATTACAGTCTTTACTAGTTGGAAGAATTAGATTACAGTCTTTACTAGTTGGAACGGTTAGATTACAGTAGTTACTAGTTGGAAGGATTAGATTACAGTCTTTACTAGTTGGAAGGATTAGATTACAGTATTTACTAGTTGGAAGGGTTAGACTACAGTCTTTACTAGTTGGAAGGATTAGATTACAGTATTTACTAGTTGGAAGGGTTAGACTACAGTCTTTACTAGTTGGAAGGATTAGATTACAGTCTTTACTAGTTGGAAGGATTAGATTAGAGTTTTTACTAGTTGGAAGGGTTAGATTACAGTCTTCACTAGTTGGAAGGGTTAGGTCGCTCGCGAAGTTCTAAACGAATTATAGTCATTCAAGCGTAACAATTCAGTTGCCCAAAATTGATCCTCAAGTGCCATAGATCAATGATCCTCACTCGGCTCTGTTGATTCTGTTGGTATATAAGGAGTCTTCACGGATCCCTACTTGAGCCGGAAGTTGTCTCCTCACGTGACATAATGAACTCCAAACAGAGCTGGTGAAAACACTAGAGATTAGACAGCATACTTAGAGTTATATATATAAATTATTGTGTTCTCCAGAACCAGTGCTATGGATAATGTTTTTTTCTTAATCATTGTTGAAATTTCGAATATGCAACCTTAACGGTACCTTATGCTCACGTGGGCTAAACAACCAGGTCACAGATCCTTTATGTTCAGGTATAGCATTACCTAATTTTGAACTACTAACGAGAGAAAATGCAATCGACCAGTAGCACCCGCCGCCACAAGGACTTTTTACGGTTCTTTGAATCGAATAACGAGATTAATTGCCACTTTTACAACAAGCCCACGGCTAAAGTTCGGAGCGTGTTCAACCCATGATCTTTCGATCCGCAGCCCGACACGCTGACTAATAGGCCATCTCCCGATCTCTCTGTTATTGTTGAAAGTCAGTAAAGAAATGCAATCACCTGATTCGAAACCCCTACAGTGTAAACTAAAAACTAAACAGGGCAAAATAAAAGTTGTTCTATTTCATGTACAAACTGTACTTTATTCTCTACTGTATGTTTCTAAGCCTATTCGATGTCTACTACCATAAAAAAAACATTTGTTTGTATCGTGTGTGCTGTACTACTATATCTTATAATATACGAAATTACGTCAACAGTGAGGATAAAAGACTTGTTGACCTACGACGTGCGAAAAGTCTTTAAATATCCGATCTCGTTAAACTTTTGTCTTTTATTTCTAGAAAACGAGCTTTTATTTACTTGCACATTGTTGACGGACGTTCATCGCATAGTGTCGGAGACGCTCACAAAGGCGCGCCTTAAATAAACAACACAACAATACAATTTCTTTTACTGTACGTTAGTGCAAAAAAATATCGAATTAAACCGAACGCTGTGAGTTCACAGAGACATCGTTCACGCAGGAAAAACAAAATGGAAACGAAAAATACGACAATTAAACTCATCTTCTTAATCCAACATGGTTACTCCAAATACCACTGACGTGGGGATGACATATTCATCAACCTGGAGATGATTAATGAATTTCGGTTAAAACACGAAAGTGAAGCTAATAAGCCTATGCTTCTTGGAGGCAAGCTTATTTTTTGTAATTCGGCTGGTGAGGCTTGGCTCCAAATTCCTAGAATCGTATTTTCTATGTACATTTTTGCTTTTTATTTTTGGAAAATTAACTTGGAAAGCTGATCTTAATTATGCTTAAAATATTTGTAATACTTTTTATATTTCATAATTGACAACATTACCTTTATAAAGTTACCGGTACAACGTTGGAAAGGAAAACAAAGACATTTTCCGTCGAAAGTTTTATAAAACGAGATGTAATATGAAATAGCATACTCCACCAGCGTAGAAAACACCATGTTGATACAGAAAAACAGCCATACATCCAGAGCGTTGATGTATGCCACGGGAGGTATGGAGCTTCGGGACTGGACCACTTGAGTCGCTAGTGTCAGCAGTGAAGTCACTCCCAGGGTCACTCGAGCTGGAACTGCTCCGACGTCCAGCCAAAAAGATAACCACGACATCAAAACCACTAGAACACTAGGAATGTAGGTGTTGACGATATATGAAGTCAGATGGCGTGCAAAGGTAAATTTCGCTATCATTGAGGTATAATTTCCTGGAAGGAGAAAAAAAAAAGAGAGACAATAAAACTGATGATGTACATAAAATTATGTCAATTACCCCTATCAATTGACCACTTTAATAATAATAATAAAATCATAATAATTACATTTGGTTTGTTTTACGTTAAGCACAAAGCTACACAATAGGATATCTGTGCTCTGCCCACCACGGGTATCGAAACCCGGATTCTAGCGTTGTAAGTCCGCAGACATACCGCTGTGTTACTGAGGGGGGAGCAAGAATTACATTACCCTTTCTTAACAGCAATATCAAATCAAAGTAAAATCCAGCCCATGCTTAGATGGCGCATAGGAGCTGGTATTGAACTCCGGTTTGAGTAGCACAAGTGGTTGAGAAAGGTGATATCCACTCCTTGGACTGGATGCTAGTCCATCTTGCTCAAGGACATGTCACGAACTCTCAACTTTTTGACAGCAAGTCCAAAGCTCTAGCCACTAAGCCACGCTGTTCCCTTACAACCCACTGTCCTTCCAATCGAAGAATTTTAATTAATTACTAAGAAGTTATTTGTTCGTGAGCTCTGATTGGCGGGATGAGGCCTAAAAGTACATTCGTAATCAAATCTAGTAATTTCTGCGTTAAAACTTTTATTTAACAATTTGTTTGTTTGAAGTTAAGCACAAAGCTACACAATGGACTATCTGTGCTCTGCCCACCACGTGTATCGAAACCCGGTTTCTAGCGTTGTAAGTCTACAGACATACCGCTGTGCCACTGGGGGGGGGGATTATTGAACAATAATTGAAAATTAATGTATACAGCTTTAGTTCTAAAGCTGTGATTCTGTTCTAAAAGTTGTCAAATGTTCGCATTTTTCTGAAAGGTAAATGAGAAAAATAGAAACAGGAGTTTTCCTTATAATATGTACTGAACTATTAAAATTTCTCTGATTTTTTTTTTATTTCTTCTGTTTGTCCTATTTGTATCAAAAATGTGAAACAAATACATTGGACTAAAATAATAAATAATAAATTTTTATTTAGTCGTTTCTATCTAATTTATTCGTAAAAGTGTTAAAACAACCAATTAGATATTTACGTTTCTATCGTCAACCTTTCTCTAATTACTCACTACAGTCTGCCTAACTCGTGTTTTCAAATCTCGTTGAGTTCAGTTTTGTCTCTCTCTCTCTTTCGTTCAGCGGAAAGATCACGGGCTTTAACACTAAAAATAGTGGTTCGATACCCGTGGTAGGCGCAGAAGATAACCAAGTATTCATTTTCTTAAACTCTTATGTTTCAAACTTTCTGGTGTTCAGTTTCGCCAACTTACATATATATTATCTACATCAAGATTTGTAACACAGTTTAGGAAACAAGACCGTGTAATATCTACACCAAGATTTGTAACACAGTTTAGGAAACAAGACCGTGTAATATCTACACCAAGATTTGTAACACAGTTTAGGAAACAAGACCGTGCAATATCTACAACAAGATTTGCAGCATAACTTAGGTAATGAGATCATGTGATACTTACACAATAGAATAACAAAGTTTGGTACGCATACGAGTAGGCGAAACTAACTATAAAAATGTTTGGAACACATGAGAATTGACAAAACTAAATATTAGAGTGATTAGTTTACACGGTCTTGTTTCCTAAACTGTGTTACAAATCTTGGTGTAGATATTACACGGTCTTGTTTCCTAAACTGTGTTACAAATCTTGTGTAGATATATCACGGTCTTGTTTCCTAAACTGTGTTACAAATCTTGGTTTAGATATTACACGGTCTTGTTTCCTAAACTGTGTTACAAATCTTGGTGTAGATATTGCACGGTTTTATTTCCTAAGCTATGTTACAAATCTCGGTGTAGAAATTGCACGGTCTTGTTCCCTACACTTTGTTACAAATCTTGGTGTAGATATATCACGGTCTTGTTTCCTAAACTGTGTTACAAATCTCGATGTAGATATATCACGGTCTTGTTTCCTACACTTTGTTACAAATCTTGGTTTGTCCAGTTTTCACTACCCACGTGCTTCAGAACTTTGCAGCTATAGTACATAATTTTGCTTACCTGTGTTCCAGTTCTCTGTATGCTCAGTCGTGTTCACAGCAGAAAGTTTAAACTGAGGCAACTTAACAGGAGATAACAACACAATTGCATCTATGTCTTTAACTGGACTGTCAAGGTCATTTGTCCAATGAAGGCGTGCGACGTCATCAGGATGAGCAACTGAAAAAAGTGATGTCAAGTTCACATGGAAACTCTTGTAGTCTCGCTCCATAAGAACGTCTTTGATTGGTGGATATTATTACATAACAGAACCGATATACTGATCAATATATGGTTAAAATATTTTAGTGTTTTCAGGAAATCGTGGGTTATCATTACTTCTCACTAGAGGGCGGTAATATGTGTTTCTTTTGTGTATTTATGAAACGTTTTGAAAAGTTATTTTTTATATAGAATTCAGACTTGTTGTTTTGGAACAGTTATCTAGATTTTTCAATATTCTAAGCATAGCTTCTGTTATTCAATCCTTACATTCTAGCTGCATAGCGCTTTCATACAGATCTTAATCTGTAATATTATACTTTTTGTGAAACCTTATTCGGTTCAGATGAAACGTACAATCGCTGACACAATTGGTTAGTTTATTTAAGACCGTGTCTTGCAGTTATGACATTAAAAGAATGTTTACTTTGCACAAGGCATTTTTGATGCAAAGTGTAACAACATTACAGAGTCAAGCTTATATATACATGTGTGTTTTATTTGTATTATAAATTAAGATTTTTTAAAATTGCGTCATGAAACAGTGAAGAAAAACGTATGTTAGACAGGAATTAACTCAAAGTAATAAAAAACCATGACCGACGCATCTTTAGTTAGATCATTGTTTGAAGGCAGAAATCCAATCGTATTCTAATGGATCTCAACATTGTATCGCGAACGATACATAGTTTCGATTTATATTTCATTCTCGGAGAAGTTATTCTACAACTGAGACGAGCTAGGGTTGACAGATTGCGATCGTCTGCTTGTGTCGCGGATGACTACTATCACATTTTGATAATGATAGTCTGAAATACCCGAAGTAAACTTGAAACACCTTGCTGTGATTGGTTAATTTTCATTCGTTCGATGGCTCCCCACATGAGTGAAATATCAGGAATATTCAAACGTTTTCTTTTTCTTTTTTTAGAAGTTAATGATTTATGAACGATTTGAAGCGCTTTAAGCAATACGACGCACTTCAAAATGAAAAATGAGCGAAGGTTAGGCTGAATGATCAATTACTTGCATTTCAGATTACACATGTCTGACCTGCACATTAATAGATTCACAGGGATGACTGACATTATTTTATAACAGTAGTTTTCCTTATTTATTGTAGGAATATACAAACTCCGATTATAATTTAACTCTTTTTCTGCTAACTATCTGTACGAGTTCGATTATTTGGAAAATGAACAATTAAAGTCACACGTGTTTCAATTATTGTTAGATTATTAGGTCATTGCAGACAGGTTATATTCCTACTTTGTATAAAGTTGAAGTTTCTTGCAATATATTAAAATAGGATAAATACTAAACTTTTATATCCACAAGGAGGCGCTTCAGTCGTATTTTCGTTCGTTAAAGGTTTTATATTAATTTTCTTCTACAAAGAAGTAAGGAAGAATAAAATCACGAAAACCGTTTTTACTGTTCATTAGTCCTTCAAACTTGACAATCTGTGGATAAATAATAAACTTTTATATCCACAAGGAGGCGCTTCAGTCGTATTTTCGTTCGTTAAAGGTTTTATATTAATTTTCTTCTACAAAGAAGTAAGGAAGAATAAAATCACGAAAACAGTTTTTACTGTTCATTAGTTCATTAATCTGTGGATAAATAATAAAGAAAAACTTAAATAAAAATATAAAAAATCAGATTTATTACATCAATGTTACTTCTGACTATACTTACATAGAGCTACTCGAATACTGCAAATCTGGATGTCCATAGGATAAAAACGGAGATCCATAGGACAGCTAATCTGAAGTACGTACCTGAGATGGTTAGGAAATGAACATTTTTTATTATTATGTTTGTTAACAAAAATACAAACAAACTGAAGAAAAGGGAAGAAAGTTGATGTCAAACGAATATGCATCCTCATTCATCCTGATATTTTTTTGGTGAAATCTACGTCTTTTAGTCTCAAACTACGTGTTGTGGTCTTTCTTTTGTGTATTGCGTTATGACGTTTTTGTGAAAAAATCTGTACGTGATGGAGATAAATGGATATCA